AGGCAACTTGTTCCATGGGTTGATTGCTCTCACTGTCAGAAAAATTCTCATTATTTCCAGCAGTGGTGGGTTGCAGGTGGTACACCACAGTACGGGCATACTGGTGCCTATCGAGAGCACTGGGTACCGTTCCGGTACGGTGCTCTGGGGGGCCCACCCGCCCGTAATCCTTACCTGTATTTGAACTCTTCGGCGCTTCCGCACATGGGCATGGTGCATATGGCGCCTGCGCAACACTCCACCGAGCAGCTGGAGCATTGAGGAGGCATTGCAGGAGATAAGGACGCATGTGCACACTGCCCGCGTTCATGTGGTGGATGCCGGGCCCCATTGCACTGTACCGGTTGCAACGGGATCCGGAACCCACCACTGATTTCCATGTTGTTCAGTTTCCATCCATTATTCCATATCTGGCCTTTAGGTGCTTTGGAAAATAGCTTGATCCCCTCCTCTCTGTGGCAACCCCTCAAATATTGGAACACTGCTATCATGTCTCCCCTGGTCCTTCTCTTCATTAGATTAGCCATGTCCTGTATGTTTTAGCCTTCAGTCCCCTAATCATCTTGCTCTTCTCTGCACTCTTGGTTGCTCTTCTCTGCACTCTTTCTAGAGCAGTGGTTCCCAACCATTTTTTGGCCATGCCCCACCTAAGCATCTCTAAAATTCTGACATACCCCCGACATATAATTCTTACATTACTCAAAAAGTGAACTCTACTCATGCAGAGGAAGCCTAAAAGGCCATTAACTTGTTTTAAACAAAGTTCAAATTACCCCCATTAAAAATCAAATTGCCCCCCTTTGGGAACCACTCTTCTAGAGTAGTGATGGCAAACCTTTTTTGGTTCCCGTGCCGAAAGCGGGGGGAGTGCAGGAGGGTTGTGAGCGGGCATGCCACACTCATAATGCTATGCGTGTGATCCCCCAGCATGCGCATGTGTGCGTGACCAGTGACACCCCCTGTTTTTGGCATGTTTTTTTCACCCTCCCCAGGCTCCAGAGACTTTCTAGGAGCCTGGGGAGAAGAAAACAGCCTCCATGCCCCCATGGATGCCCTGTGGAGGACTCAGGAGCTTCCCTGAAGCTTCTGGAGGGCGAAAAATGAACCTATGGGGAACCCGGAAGTTTGGGAATGGTGACTTCAGGTTTGCTTGTAGGGTCAGTTTTTGCACTCCAGAGCCTTCAGGGGGCTTCCAGGAGGGCAAAAACCGGTCCTACGAACAAACTGGAAATCTGTTCCCGAACTTCCAGTTTGCCCATAGGGCTGTTTTTGTGTGTGAAAAATTGCCTCAAAAGAAGGCCGAAGTCAGCTGGTCGGCAAGCCAATGCGCGCTGGCCAGCTGACAGGGCAACACTTCGCATGCCCTAACAAATGGCTCCGCGTGCCACCTGTGGCATGTATGCCATAGCTTCGCAATCACAGTTCTAGAGTCTCGACTCTCAGCACTCTTTTTTATAGTGTGGTGACCAAAACTGGATGCAATACTCTAGGTGTGGCTTTACTAAGGCTTTATAGAGTAGTATTAGTACCTCACTTGATCGTGTCCAGCAAGC